TGAGCTTGAATTGTTCCCTTTGTTAACTCAGAAGCCTGAAAATGATGAAAAGATTACATATTTAGCAGGTCAAATCTGAGACCATTTTCTGATTTAAAAAGAAATTTGGTGTTTAATCGCCTGGTCTAAAATTAGAGAAATTGAATAGAGTAAACTAAAGTCTAGAAAAAAGAAAATGCTACAGGTCAGATGCTTATGCTAAGCAATGGACAACAGATATTTTTGCATCTAGATCCCAAATATGAGTAACCTAAGTAACATGAAATTAACTTACTGACAATAGTATCTAATTAAAAAGCAATCAATATTTACCAAGCAAGTATCTGGCTTTTTAATGTGAATAGGGTACACATGAAAATTGATAACTTTTATTCTTTTTTGTAGCCTGATGATTTTTACATTTCTGGACACCAAAGTATGCTAACCAACACATGCAGATACGCATGGAACGTTATTTTCTGGTTGATTAGGAATGCGCACATCCTTTGGTGGATGTGGGTAACAGATGTCTTGTGGGTAACAGATGTCTTGGCTTTTACAGACTAATTGGCAAAAAAAGGGAAAGGGGGATAATTAAAGGGGTGGGAGGAGACACAAGAAAAGTGCAGTCTCCTTTGTACAGAAAAATCTAATAGTCCTCCTTATTCTGGGTAATTGCCTCCCTTTTGAACTTCATTTGCTCTCCTTTCCATATGACTCAAACTCACTGTAATGGGAAGGTATAAAATAAAGAAACATAAGGCGGGCTACTGTCTAACAACCAGATTTATCATGAACTATTCCAGTGTAATTGACTTAACACTCATGTTTGTTTTTTTCAAAATATGAAAGCATAAATGTAATCACATAGCAACATATATTTTAATTGACAGCCTAAAGATTCTATATTGAGGATGGTTGATGTGCACATAGCTTAATTATATACCAAATGAGACTATATAGTGGACTGGTGGGAAATGAAAAATGAGGGCCTGAGTATGTTGTATGTTACTTATACATCTTGGGTATTGTTTAGTTTCCAGTTTGTTCTTAGTTAGTGCTATCCTACTGCCAATTGGCCTGGAATAAATAAGAACATTTAGCAGGTGTGTAAAGCCATTATCATTAACAAATCATCAATTATGTCAGTGCTTTCCATTGTGCAAGATTTAATGTAGGTATTATTTTTTATGTATTAACTGTATCACTTGGGTCATTATTATTCTTCTGATTTGTATCTTTCATTTTAAACTAAAGAAAAATTTTATAACCTGTTAAACATTCAGTGAGTATCCACATTACTCCTTGATAAGAACTATTATATGTTCGTTTTTCCAAGAAGTCAGTAGTGCTTCAGTGAGAAAATATCACGTTGGGTACTTAGAGTCTTACTTAGTACAGAATTTAGATAAGCTAAATGGTGAGATTATTTATTCTAGATGGAAAGCACAGGATATTGATTTTATTTGACAGCTGTCTCCTCAGAAATTATGTAGATAGACTTTGTTTTAGAAACATATTAACTGGCTTTAAAGGTTATCAGAAAAATACAGGTCAAAATCTCAATCATCAGTTGTTTCTTTTTTTTTAAACTTTTATTTAGTAAATATAAATTTCCAAAGTACAGTTTATAGATTACAATGGCTTTTCCCCCCCATAACTTCCCTCCCCCCCACACCCGTCCCATCTCCCGCTCCCTCTCCCATTCCATTCACATCAAGATTCATTTTCAATTATCTTTATATACAGAAGATCAATTTAGTGTATATTAAGTGAGGATTTCATCAGTTTGCACCCACACAGAAACATACAGTGTAAAATACTGTTTCAGTACTAGTTATAGCATTAATTCACATTGAACAACACATTAAGGACAGAGATCCTACATGGGGAGTAAGTACACAGTGACTCCTGTTGTTAATTTAACAATTTGACACTCTTGTTTATGGCGTCAGTGATCTCCCTTAGGCTCTAGTCATGAGTTGCCAAGGCTATGGAAGCCTTTTGAGTTCACCGACTTCGATCTTATTTAGACAAGGTCATAGTCAAAGTGGAAGTTGTCTCCTCCCTTCAGAGAAAGGCACCTTCTTCTTTGATGGCCCGTTCTTTTTACGGGGATCTCACTCGCAGAGATCTTTCACTTAGGTCTTTTTTTTTTTTTTTTTCTTTTTTTTTGCCAGAGTGTCTTTGCTTTCCATGCCTAAAATACTCTCATGGGCTCTTCAGCCAGATCTGAAAGCCTTAAGGGCTGATTCTGAGGCCAGAGTATTGTTTCTTACTTGCTAATTTCTTATGACTGCTTTAGAATTATATTTTATTTATAATTTCTAGACTTTTTTGTGGTGGGAGAGTGGTTTTAATACTATCATTGTTTTAATGGTGTTGTTGCTAGTAAACAAACAACATTGCTTGTGTAGTCTAGAGACTCACATTAAGTCAGTCACTTGATCTTTTTTGAACCTTGTTTCACTGTCCATAAAATGGAAATGGTGATAGCTAACTCCCACAATGGAGCTGGGGATTATGTGCCCTGATGACTGCACATGAAGTTAACATGTGTGTAATTGTTGGGTACTTTATGGTTGCCTTCACTCAGTAAGTCCATATTCCTTAGTAAGATGTTCTGATTTCCTGGCTGGGCTTATCATGGAAACAGAAAATTCTGTTGACGAGTCCAGGAACAAATGATGTAATAATATGAGTAAGGAGTTACTCTTCTTCCCACCTCTGGGCCCATGAAATATGAAGGTGAAGAATAACGACAGTGAGGCAGGTTTCTTTATTGTTAAAGGGGTTTCCACATTTTAGTTGTAGATTTACAAAAGTTGCAAATTTATAGAAGGAAAAATGTTATTTTTATATAAAATTTTATGACTTTTGGGCCCACTGCCCCTACTCTAGCTCATTTCCCATTTCAAGGAAAAATTGAGGCTTTGTAAGATGAACTGTTTTCTCCAAAGGCAATCAGTAAGTTAGTGGAAAGCTAGGTGCAAAACCATTGTCTTCTCCTAAATTCTCTGTCTGGACCATTGCAAGACATTGGATTGCAGTGGATGTAACCTGGGCCATTGAAAGAATGAGAGCTGTCAGCTCATGCTTGGCAAGCAGAAATATTTTTTTTTTATGGCTTTAAAAGTTTTCTGCACTATAGTACATCCAGCTGTTCTTTTATGTATAACAAGTATGTTTCAATTGTTTACATAAGGCAATAGCTTTACTTTCTTCAATAATAAAAAGATAGTTGCTAATTTTTATATGTTATTCTTATGAGCCATAAATTGTCTTTATATAGATTAATTTATTCTCAGCAACAATATTATAAGCAGGCATATTGATCTTCTTACCTTTCATAGAAGGAAGTGTAGGCACAGAGGGATTAAGTATGTCTAAGATTACAAGGGTAGCACAACCAAGATTTGAAGCCCTAATCAGATTAGAATTTAAAAACTACTAGAAGGATTCTATTGTCAGAAGATACCCGAGTATACTATATTGGCTCTACTTTATACAAGCAAAGTACCTTAGAACATTTTCTAAATCACTGGATTTTATATATCTAACTATGAATCCCAATCAGCTAGAACCTACATTTTACTTCAGAGCATAAATAATGATAAAACATTATGTTTATTTATGTTAACCACAACTGGAATACATAAAGTGAACAATTATGCTAGGTCTAGCATTGCTAATAAGATTATATTTTAGGATTTTGTTTCACTTAGACCATATTAATACAAATGTTTATAAGAATATTATTTGACCAGTCAAAAGATTGAGATGAGAGTAATTTCCATGTGATTAATATAAAATTTGTCCTTTCATTCATTCCAGTTGTATAGAACTATTATCCATTGTATTCCCATACTAGTATTTGAAATTGGGAAAGAGTTGCTATTTCCAGATCAACTATTTTAGAGGTATAAAACCAGCTATAAATTGAGTTATTAGCAATTTAAAGTCTAATTTTAGTAATAATGATTCATAAAGCCTTGAATATTTAGATAACTGGGGGACAGTGAGGATTTAATTAAAAGCTTCTTAAAGTAATAGAGTGAAACTTTATTTTTTTATTATATTATTTAGAAATCATATATTAAATAAAATTTGAATTACAACCACTGGACTCTTAATCCTGACAAATATTTTACATCAAAGCAAAAAAAAGAGTGTCACTTTAATAAGTGAGTTGGGTTTCTGCCCAGAGTGTCATGGTGTGTGTGTGTGCGTGTGTGCACACAGTATGTAGAAAATGTTAAGAGATTTTTGGAAGTGAACAGATTAATGAAGTCTAATTTTTGAAAGTTTTCTTGGTATAGATATATTAAATTCTATTATTGATATGCTTTACTTTATGGGACATATAAAGCCACTGAAGGAAATTTCCTGAAGGTCATAGTCTATGTTCAAATGATTCTCATTCTAAGCTATGTTTCTTAGCAAACAGGGGGAAGAATAATGGCTCATCAATATCTTAAAGATACCATACCAATAACAATAATATTTTAAAGCATCACAGAATATAGAGAACCAAAACTATTTTTAAAACTATGAATTTCTATAGTTATTTTTTGTGCTTAGCACATCTTCTTAAAAGTTTAAAAGGAAAAGGCAAATGAAAAAAATACGCTGAATTGTTTAGCTATGCAGCTGCCATAACCACTGTGATGTTCCACAAATGATGTTGGACAGCTCCCCTTGGTTGCTGTGATATGGTATCCTACTATCTCATAGCTATTATTGATTTGGGATTGAAATTAAGAAGGAGGGTATGTAGTGTATGAATAAGAAAATATTTTAAAACATAGTAGCAATTGGATGAATTCCTTAAAGGACCAGTAATTGTGGATAAAAATTGGGAAACCTATTTAGTAAAAGGAAACATGACAGAGAGGAAGTAACATCACTAACATGTGTTCTTCTTTAATTTTCATTGATTTAATTTCAATTCTGAAGTATTCTGCAATATATTTGCATCCTATCTTTTGTATATTAAAGCCTTTTTACCTTACTGTTTCCAGGATTGAAGTGTGTGTGTCTTTTGTGTGACTCTTCAAACTTTACCTGCCAAACAGAAGGAGCATGTTGGGCATCAGTCATGCTAACCAATGGAAAAGAACAGGTGATCAAGTCCTGTGTATCCCTCCCAGAATTAAATGCTCAAGTCTTCTGCCATAGTTCCAACAATGTTACCAAAACTGAGTGCTGCTTCACAGATTTTTGCAACAATATAACACTGCACCTTCCAACAGGTAAGGGATTTATCTTTGTTCCTTCCAAGTTTAATTTTATTCTTGGGAAATTCCAAGCGTGGTAGAAATCAAACTCTCTTATGTTTCTTAAATAAAAAAATCTGTTTTACAATTCTCTTTTTGTTTTAGACTAGTAAAATTTTTTAGAGTCTAGCTGAGGTTGATTTTTTTTAAAAAAAATGCACCTCTGTCTAAATATTGATAATAACTTACAATTTTTGAAGAGACATGTTCATGTGAATTATATTTTTTGAAATGACTAATGACTTCTTATAAAATGTAAACTTATATGGATTATTTTAAAGGAAATATATACATTCACACATATAAAGAAATAAAGGGCAAAACTAAAAACAGTAGATTGCCATTTTTATGTGGATGCAATCTTTTTTCTATGAATACTTTCTTCATATCTTCTTTATCTACCCACAATCAGTAAGAGCACTCATAAGCAGAAAGACAGAGCTAAAATAGAATTTGACTCTTCATTATCATTCAGCTATATTCCTGCCTTTAGCCCAATTTCATGGTGCCTTATTTATCCCAATGTGTAAGAAACAGAAAAAAAAAGACACAGAAAATTCTAATCTGGTTTTTATCAGCAAGTTTGGGAGACATTAGGGGCATGTAATTCAGAATTAAAAGCTAATTTATAATATGAAAATGTTCTTGCTGGTAAATTTTCTTTAACATTTTATAGTAACAATTTAATACTTATGCATTAATATCTATAGACAGTTATGTACTTTATTTCCAATTAACATTTGAAATACTGTTATCCAATTTCAGGCATTCATATGAGTGTGTTACTCTGTTAATACTATACCACTCTACTAATTTTTATCTATTTTTTAAATAAATTAACCCCTTGGGGCCAGCTTTGTGGTGTAGTAGGTTAATCCTCTGCCTGCAGCACCGGCATCCCATATGGATGCCGCTTCTAGTCCTGGCAGCTCCTCTTCCAACCCAGCTCTCTGCTATGGTCTGGGAAAGTAGTAGAAGATGGCCCAAGTGTTTGGGCTCCTGTACCCACTTGGGAGATGGGGAAGAAGCACCTGGCTTTGGATTGGCGCAGCTCTGGTCATTGTGGCCATCTGGGAAGTGAACCAATGGAAGGAAGACCTTTCTTTCTGTCTTTCTCTCTCACTGTCTGTAACTCTACAACTCAAATAAATAAATAAAAATCTTTATAAAAAATAAATTAACCCCTTTCATGAAATTGAAAAACATTTATTTTCTACAGAAATTTAGTACTATGACCACAACTTAAAAGCCAATTTACTGGCACCAAATAGAAGATAACTATTAAAACAAGCAAACAAACAAAAAAGCGATACCATTACCTTTTGGTTAAATATTTTGTATTCTCTCTTTTTTAAAAGATGAAAGAAAAAAGTGTTAAAAACTTACTAGCAGGAAATGATTTTTGTTCATACAAAATCAGAAAGAAGTAAGAAAATTAGAGAAAAAAATCTTGCAAGTCAATGTTATTTAAGTTCATGTGCATTTACCACCTCAATTCATCTCAAAAACCTTTAACAGTCATTTCTTGTACTCCAACTGGTACTTGTCCCACTCTTTGGGAAACACTGTCCCAAACCTTTGTCTCATATATTGTAATCAGGTAAATTATACTTGGCATATTTCATCCCCTAGTTAGCTACTTTGCACTCATGGTTTTTAGACTGCATTTACTATCTCTGCCTCAGGTTCCATAGACTTCCTTGATTTGCTGGTGGTCTGGGATCTATGAGTATTGTGTGCACTTTGTTTCCCTAAAGTTTCTCCACCCAAGACACTCTAATGTGTACATCAGAGACACTTTAAAGTTAAGGTCCCTCATATTTGGTGCTAGTCTTCTGCATGATCAAATACAAAAGTATAGGAAGTGTGGGAAGGAATATTTTCTCGTGGACAGTGGCTGTGACCTCTTCAATGTGTCTTTTCAATGATGAATTATCCTCAGGACTTCATTCCATAAGTTAGAATGAGAACAAGATGGCACTTTGACTATGATGAAGGCCATGCAAGACAAGATGCTCTGTATGGTATTAAGCAAATTCAAAGTACTCGGTGCCAATTAGAATGCAGGTCCTTCCTGGCCCAACTACAAACGGCCTAAACATATAATGCAGTATTATTCAGTCTATTACCATTAAGCATGGTACTAACTGTATGTTTTTAGTGATTCCTGCTACCAATTGAGGGAATTTACTCTTATTCTTAGTTTTATAAAAATATTTTCTTTTTGCCAAATAAAAACTAGGCGTTACTTTTTTCAAATATGTTCATGAATTTGTTGAGATTACCTATGATCTTTCTCCTGCAGTCTGTTGATATGATGGATTACATTAATTGGTTTTCAAGTATTACCTTTAATAGGGAAGATGTATTGTCTACTAATAAACATGTCTACAATCCATGCTATATGACATTCCATTATGTTCAAACATTTATATCTTTACTTAAACTGAGAATCTGTTTCTTTTAACAACATTGCATGGTAAATGGACATTAAATTGAATAGGAGTACATGTACAGTCATCTTGTGTGGGATTGTTCTGTCTGTGAGGCAGCAATAAATGGTTATTAGCTGTATTTGGAACAGCAGGTGTTTGCAGAGAGTTGGGAACCTCCAAGCTGACTGATAACATAGCCAGTGCCAACAACTTCACCATTGCATTGTCATCAGTGAGTGTGATTTCTATTCTCTGCTCTGCTTAGTAAGGATCATGTGATCCTTATAATTTAAAAATGTAGTCATGCTCTATATGATGACTTTTCAGTCAATAATGGACTGTATGCATGATGGTGACTCCATAAGATTATAATGGAGCTGAAAAATTCCTATTGTCTAGTATTTTTAATATATATTTTCTATACTTATATATGTTTAGGTACATATTTATGTTACAGTTGCCTTAGTATTCAATACAGGAACATGGTATACAGGTGTGTAGCCTATGAGCAGTAGGTTATACCATATAGCCTGGGTGTATAGTAGGCTATAATATCTAGCATTTTGTAAATACACTCTGACTCTGTAATGTTCATACAACAATGAAATTGTCTAATAATGCATTTCTTGTCATTAATTGATACATGGCTATTCATTAAAGCACTCTGCAAAGCAGTCTGTGAGATATTTTGATGATACTTTGATAATTTTCATCATGTTCATGGGAAAAACAGCTGAAGAAAAGATCAGGGAAGTAATCAGAAGAGGTTAGGCAGTCTTTGACTTCCTTTTATGGTCCCAGCTGGAAGCCAAATGCATTCTTTCCTTTCTGGCTCTTTCCTCCCCTCACCCAGATGGTGGGGCTGTTTCTGGGTAGGTGATGATATAAGTGCAGTAACTTGGTCTAACTGTCTTCTGTCTCAAGGGCTTGTCTGTAATAATTGTGCCCTTGCCTTGTTTCTTTTTGACAAAATTTCTATTTTGTGTACAGCTGCTGACCACCCTACCCACTTCCACTCCCAAAATCCTGTTCTTTCTGCTGGTGCCCTGGTCACTCAACAGTTGGAGAACTGCTGGTACTCACAAAAATCTTTTTAACTGTTTGACACTAATTGCTGAAACCTTAGTGGCTTTCACACAGGTTTCTATTTATTACATAAAAGGAAATACATTTTATATAATTTTCCACACACCATATGCACAAACAACTGAAGAATTTTACGGAACATACTTACCTTTAAAATATGTAAGGTACTCTGATCTTTGCTATTTCATTAAATAAAAGTGCTGGTCACATACCACCAATAGGCTTGTTCACAGTGTAAGTATAAGAAATTCTCCTTTTGGTGGAACTTAAATTGGGTTAATTTTAGATGCACAAAGGACATTTATTATTTTAATTCATTTGCACTAAAAACATGTTAAAATCTAGTTACTCTTTTAATTTCATATATTTCCTTTTAAATGGCTTTAAAATTCATCTTACCCATTCATTTGAAATATCAAAATGGATTAGGTGTAAGTCAAATTAATTCATATTATTGTAAGTAAATTTTTTTAAGATTTATTTAATTTGAAAGTCAGAGTTACAAAGATACAAAAGAGAGAGAGAGAGAGCGAGAGTGAGTGAACATGCTGGAGAGATATTCTCCATCCCCTGGTTCACTTCCCAGACGTCCTTAATTTCCAGGGCTGAGCCAGGCTGAATCCAGGAGCTAGGACCTTATTCCAGGAATCCCATGTGGGTGGGAGGAACAGAAACACTTGGACCATCTTCTGCTGCTTTTCCCAGGCCTTTAATAGGGAGCTGGATTGGAAGTAGAGAAACTGCACGCAAACCGGTGTCCATATAGGATGCTGGCATCGCAGGTGGCAGCTTTACCCCCTACATAATGATGCTAAAATTTGGTTAGATCACATTGAATTAAATCACTTGCTCTTTTTAAAAAAGACCATCTTGTTTGACATTGAACATGGATTTAAATTGTCAGAGTTAATAATTTGATTTGATGAAAATTATTTCATATTTTGGTACAAATATAATATAAGAAAACTTGCCTCCTCCCTGCAGTCTGTTGATGTGGATAACTTTGATGTCACTGGAGAAGTTACCAGCAAATTCAACTGGTTAACACAGGTACCTACAGGTGTATTTTCCATGTAAAACTTGGAAGACAAAATTCATTTCCCAAAACCGTCATTTATTTGACTAGTGCTTTGAGTTCGTGTCCTTATTAATAACAAAATTGTTATTACTCTCACCAAGCAGGGATAGTATTGGGTATTTAAAATTAAATATAGACTATGCAAATATTTTAAACAAGAGAAGCTTATATATACTTAATGCAAGTTACTCTGTCTGATTTCTTCTTCCTGTGTATTTTTAGACCAGATAAGAAGAGCTTTCTTCAATTCCAAAAATATCTGTGCACCTTTCTGAATGCTGTGTTTCTTGCTCTGAAGGCAGTGCTCTTTGATCTAGTACACCTAGATGTTGCTAAATTTCCTGCCTTGTCACAAGACATGTATGATTGTCCACTTT